GCTCGGGCTCGTGGGAAGAAATTCATGTAGAGGACTTTGTTTGCAAAGCGAGCAAGTTTTTCAGTAAAAATATTCTACCTGTTTACTTGAATGGAACTCTTTATTGGCTTAGAAAAGATGGAAATATTCTTGCTTTCGACATGGAAAATGTTATGCCTCGCCACCGAGGCTCAAAGTCAAAGAGCCGCGTAGCAATTCACGTGGACAAATAACCAATAGAAAAGTCAAACAAAGAACCAAGTTGTCAAAAATAAAGAAATTATGCAAATTATCGAAGCACTGCAACTTGGGTTGAGACACTGTCCAAAGAAACTGAAGCTCTCCACTCAGAGAACCAACATGAAGTCCCTTTGAGGCTCTCAATTCATCCGAGGTTCATGAAGCCGATTGTATAGGGCGACTGATCTCTTATCAATATATAAATTATATGAATAGACAGTGATGTGAAGCCTCAACTAAAGAGATGAGGTCACGTGATTCTGATCTAACGGACACCACGTCGGCCAGAACACTATAAATAGGTTCTCTTCGTAACTAAGAAAGGATTCGAAGGAAAGATGTAAAAAGCTTATACTTTGAACTCTTCTTAGATATGATAAGGAAATATCTACAAAGATCTTTTGTGAGCATTTTAACCTTACATTACATACTTTTGGAATGTAAATCTCTTAATACACAATCTTACAATTTCTACCCTCATTGTCTTCTATCCTTTCATACGTTTCAGTAAAATCTTTTAGTTAGTTACTTTGGTTCTCAATGAGTGATTGTTGTTAGTGTACTCATCTTTTTTTCAACTGTAGGAGTTTGAAAATTTTTTGTCTCCCGCCATACAGCATCTCCCGCGTACACGTCCGCCTCCTTTCTTACCACTCTTTCGGTAAAAAACTCACCGAAACTTGCTTGGCTTGGCGGGAGTAGGCCCAATATCCGTTGGCTCATTTTTCGGGGTCAATAGAAAACATCGGGCTATAATTATCAAAGGACCCATTAAGAAACCTCTGTTTGAACGTGATGTATGGCTTGGAGGAATTCAAGGTTTGATCATATTTGTCTACCCTTTTAGTTACGAAATCCTATGTTAGAGTTGCTTGTCGAGGCATAATCACTACTGTTAATATTGCTATATACATAGGTGACGTTCGATGCTTTGCATTCAACAACTGTTAGATTTATGATGTGATTTGTTTTCTATATGGTATTTTAGCGTTGAAAAAATAGTAGCTAAAACTCTTATATGTTGTTTATTTGTTTCATCTTTAAATGACGTGAGATATTAATCTTAACGTGCCCCACAAGATGATGACTCATTTGAAAACAACATCAATTTTGAAATTTGTGTACTTATTTGAATCTCAGTCAGTTCAAATTAATCATTTGAGGCTAATGGATTCCTATATCATCTTAAAACTTGGGAATCTATCTTAAAAAGTTGACCTTTTGTTCTACAGTGTCGAGCGATGCATTTCATCCTCTACTACCAAAAAATATTAAAAAGACTAGTCCAAACCCTTATTTGTTATTTATTTGTATCATCTTTAATCAATGTTCTAAAATACATAATGTGTTTCAATCGAGTATCAAACATTACATACATATACATGCATATGCTTAATTATGCGTTTGTCAATTTTTAATATAATTTTGAATATTTTAAACTAATAAATAAATAAAATAAGGCATCCTATGAACTTTACACATATTTTTCAAATTTTCAAAAAAAGTAAAAAATATGTTGCTAAAAACTTAAATACTACAATTATTTGAACTTTATACATATTATTCAAATTTTCAACAAAAATATATTATTCAAAATTACAAATACTACAATTACTTAGTAATCAATTCGTACAATTAGATTAGACACGAACACCGGCTTAAATTTTTTTAAATGTTTTCTGACTCTTTATATGATTCCAATTCAATCAAAAACTTTTTCATCCAAATCATTTTTCGTCTCATTTGATGAAAAATCATTTTCATCGAGTTTTCTTATTTCAACTCGAGAATTTTTATTACCCCTTGTAGATGGTAAGATATTTTGTTAACCTCCTCATCATCAAAATTATCAACAATTTAAGATTGTGCATTACTAGCATCACTTTATAGTAAAACTAGATGAAGCCCGAAGAAGGACGTAGATCGTTTACAACTTTACGAAAAATTTGTTTTGATTTTTTTATTTTTCTAAATGTCAAAATCCTATTGTTGGTGTACATAATTCAGGGCTTACGTGATTTGGGCTAATTTGTTTTTCAAGTTATAAAAATGGATTGAGTTTTGTTAGGCTAATTTTGTTACAAATTTTAACACAAATATATGTGCATTTTGGCTTTTAAGCGTACATATGCGATCAACGAAATGAGTTGATTGCATTATCATGCGCATATCTCATATACGAGGTGTTTTGAAAAGGCATCAAGAATATGTAGATATATGCGTGCATTTTAGAACATTCTTTAATCGATGTTGAATATTATCCTTAACATGTTGTGCAAGATAGTAGCTTGTTTGAGAAATCAATCTTGAATTTTGTGTGTTCTACAAATTCTTTATGTACGAATAAAAAGAGAATTTCCGGTTTTTAATTATTCTTAAAATAAGCATATGTTTGGTCCGAATTAAAATATAATTTAATTCCGCCACGAATATTGTTCCAAAAGCCAATAATGAAGAATCTAAGTCCGCCACGAATATTGTTCCAATTGCTAAATTGTTGATGGGCCCATTTGAAACTTGTGAAGCCCGCGGTGAGAAATCCCAAACTGAAGATTGTAAAAAATGGATTGGGGGCATTCCGAGAATTGAACTCGGGACCTCTCGCACCCTAAGCGAGAATCATACCACTAGACCAAATGCCCGAACATGTTATGCTAATCAAATTATTAGATTGTATTATAATAGTAGCTTCATTACAAAAAATTACTTCACTGACCAATTGAGTATGTTCACTTCTCAAAAACTGTTTCTAGAAAAAATTAAATTAATTAAAACTTATGTACTCACTAAGGCCCTGTTTGGTTTAGATTAAAATTTTATTAAAATCTTAAGTTAAAGTCAACAATTAATTTGAATCATACATTTCATGGAACTTACGACTTTTTAACGACACGTTTCATTAACTATTATCAAAATCTACTAAAAATCTGATTTTAATCTTTACCAAATAAGGGGTAAACTAGTTTGTGTCCAGCTTGGAGAATCACAACACTTGGCCAAGGTTTAAAACAAGAAGTGGAAATTTCTCATATATATACAATGTAAAGGTAAAGAATATATAACAAAACAAGCAAGAAACAAATCCGAGTTCTGCTATGGGGTATAGGAATTCAAATTCCTGCACCCATATAGAATAGAAACAATAGGGTGGGTAGGTAGAAAAATCAATTTTTTTAATCACCTAGGGCCCACCCTTATGTGAGTAAAATTCAAATTTCTGGTGAAAATTCTGTAAAAAAAAAAAATCTGTACTCATAGCATTTTTTAAGAGATCCAGGGTGGCTGGAGATTCATTGGATCACAAACCATCTTGGGCTCTTGCCACCGTCATCGCCGTCTCCATTTTTGTCTTACTCGAGGACTCCATCCACCTTCTTACCAACGTAAGAAAACTCGAACACGACTATTGTGCTTATAAACTCACATTACAAGTCATCTAAAAGTGATATGATACTCAAAACTAGACATTACAGAACTCTTCATAATTTGTTTGTTCATAAGCCAACTATAAGTTCTATGTGCAGTGGCTCAAGAAGCATAGAAAAACATCCCTCTATGATGCTGTGGGCAGGCTTAAATCCGGTAATTAATCTGAATACCATTATACATATCCTAAGATGAATGATCGACTTTAATTTTACAGGGAACAAAACTTAGTTTGTTGCTCTTTTGATTTAAGATTTAGTTTGTAACTGGCAAAATGATCGTTACCAGAATATTTCTCGAGTAAGTGGTAAAGCTTTATGATGCAATTAAGACCTGATTTGCTTGTCGATTGATTCTCGAGCATTCTTCAGGGCGACAATCCAATTTCTTTGCAGTTACATTACTCTTCCACTCTAATGCATTAATCATTGCGCGTGCACGTATTTATTTTTGGTGGATACATGTGATTGTCACAACAATTCTTCCCAATTTGTGTATAAATTATAATTAATTAATATTCCACCACCAATTGTGCAAAGTGATAAAGTTTTGATCCACCATACATTTTATTATTTCTGATTAAGATGCCTTGTTTTCAAAGCATAACTTTATTTTTAATAGTCCAAGCTAGATAACTTAGGTGATGTGGTTCGAAACAAATTCAGTATATACATATCATACGTGTTTAGTACGTTAAACTCACGTTCAGACCAAGTGACATACTCGAGATGAGTGGCCAATCCCAATTTATGGAGAAGATCCGTTGTATAACTTTAATCTTAGCTAAATAACTAGGGTGATGCGGGTCGCAACAAATCCAGTATATCATATCAGGCATATTTAATTTGTTAAACTGAATAGTTCTAGACTTGATTTAATAAGAAAGACGTGTATCCATCATCGTGTACCGATTAGAAACTAATGTTCAGTGTATAACTTTAATCTTAGCTAAATAACTAGGGTGATGCGGGTCAAAACAAATTCAGTATATCATATTAGGGGTGTGTTCGGTAGAGATTAAAATCGGATTAAAATTAAAAAACTAGCCGTTATTATTGACTTTTATTAGACGAGTGAAACCCAATAACGGCTATATTTTCAACTTTAATTGAATTTTAAGCACGGCTAAACACGCCCTAGATATGTTTAATATATTAAACTGAATAGTACTAGACATAATAAAACAAGAAAGACGTATATCGTGCATTGTGTACTAAATTAAAAACTAACGTTGGGGTATTGGAAATATTGTATCAAATATTACCTTCGATGGTGCATTCAACAACATTAAGACCACTAAAGTAATGGCATAACCACAAATTAATCCAAACTTTGGTGGCCCGCAATTCTCAAGCATGGTGAGAATATTAGCCGAAAGGTCAAAATTAGAGGCTTTTAGTGGGAAGAGGCCTGGAATTTCCATCGTGCGCCCACGAAATCCAGTCCTATATAAGGTTTCAACTGTCAATTGGTTTATCAAATAGAGTTGAAGAGCCTAAATCCTAAGAAAAATGGCCAGTCTTGTCCCAATTTCCATTTTTCAGTTACTACTGTTGCTCTTACAGTTGTATTCTGGTATATTTTCTATGTCACCAACTTCTTTCACTTATTCACCTTTGGTCAAATTACAAATATTCAATCTTTTAGTGTAAACGTATATTTAACTGTTAGATAGTCTTGTAGCATGTGCGTTTTTTAATCATCGAGTGAGACCCTTGTTACCGAGCACCTTCGATTCGATATTATTGTTTGAGGAATGCTAGAATGCGTACGATTTTGATTCAATCTAATCTACCAAACATCCCTAAGTGTCATGTATTTATGTATGCATCGTGCGTAATTCTTTTTTCGTGTAAAGCCTTCTTTAGAACGTGTATGAACACATAGTTGTTCTTGAGAAATCCGAGGACTGATACTAATTTGTTCTTGTGAAGGTGAAAGCGATCTGCAGTTGAATTATTACTCAGAGAGTTGCCCAAGAGCTGAAGAAATCATCAAAGAACAAGTCACCGGCTTATACCATAAGCATGGAAATACAGCCGTTTCATGGATCAGAAATCTCTTTCATGATTGTATTGTTAAGGTAATAATATTTTCAATCGAACATGTTAATTTTGGTCTACCCATCTGTTTTGTAACGAGTTCGACTGACATAATTCGCACGACGATTCATTGTAGTCATGTGATGCATCATTACTGTTGGACACTGCAAATGGCATGAAATCAGAGAAGACATCATCAAGAAGTTTTGGAATGAGGAATTTTAAGTACATAAACACTATCAAAGATGCCCTTGAGAAGGAATGTCCCATGGAAGTTTCTTGTGCTGATATTGTGGCCCTTTCAGCAAGAGACGGTGTCATCTTGGTATAAATTTATTTTACTCGTATGTTTAAATTTTTGACTAGCTCTAAGACCATTGATTTCGAGTGACTAAAAACAGCGAAAATAGCCCCGAACTCCATTGTCATGTGATGGGTTTTTGCCTGATTTTGTGACATCTCGTGTTGTAGTTAGGTGGGCCACATATCGAGATGAAGACAGGTCGAAAGGATAGCAAGGAAAGTCATATAGCAGAAGTTGAAGATTTCATCCCCAACCACAATGACAGCATCTCATCAGTTCTTTCGAGATTTCAATCAATTGGCATTGATACTGAAGGAACAGTAGCTCTTCTAGGTACGGTGCCCTTGACCTCTTGAATTCTCAGATGTATATATCGTGCATATATCATACACGTGTATATATTAATGTTTGAAATTCTTTTGTTTGTGCACTCACTACATAGGACGAGTACTAACGCAAGCAATTTTCCACAAGCATAGCCGACATGGACAAGATCATAGCACGAACATTTTCCTATATACATGCATGTATCATATACGTGTAACCTGACTTATTTTTGTTCAGGTGCTCACTCCATAGGACGAGTTCATTGCAAGAACATTGTTCCCAGAATCTACCCAACAGTGGATCCAACCTTAGACCCTGCGTACGCCAACTACCTCAAAGGCCGGTGCCCTTCCCCGGAACCCAACCCGAAAGCGATCGAATATGCAAGAAACGACCGCATTACGCCGATGTTGCTTGATAATATGTACTACAAGAATATTTTGAGTCACAAAGGACTGTTGCTAGTGGATCAACAGCTAGTTTCTGATCCTGATACATATCCTTTTGTGGAGAAGATGGCTGCTGACAATGATTATTTTCATGAACAATTCTCCAAGGCTCTACTCATTTTATCAGAAAATAATCCGCTTACAGAAGAGCAAGGAGAGATCAGAAGGGATTGTCGATACGTGAATAGAAATTGAACAATAAAAATTACTTGTTATTACTCCTATTAGAAAAGGTTACAGGTTCTCATCTACATGTTCTCGACACAAATGTGCACGTGTTAGACTTTTCATGAAGAAATAAATCGTGTGGAATCTAATGAACACAACATTTCAACCATCTCAAAATCCGGAAGTGACAGTTCAAAACTTTTCCAAAAGTTCAAAATTTTCCTAACCAAAAAATTAAAATCCTTCAAAGTTACGAAATTTTCCTTGGCCCCAAACAAAGGAAAGTGCCCAACATCACTAAGGTCCTGTTTGTGATTGATTTTGAAGTCCAATAAAAAAATTATTCTAAATATTTGGCAAACTTAAGGAAAAATGATTTTAGATTTGTTTTTAACCTTAAATAAATTAATATATTTTCTACTATATGGACTATACTTTTTTTTTTTTTCTAATTTTATAAATTTTTAGATTTAATAGATATTATTATTTTTCTTTTGAAATAATATATTGTATTAGACAAAATATTATTAGCCCCTATTTGTTTAGCTCAAACTCAAAATATTAGTAGATTTTGATAAAAATTGATGAAATATTTGTTTGAAAATTTAATAAAAGTTGTAGATCCCTTAAAATGTGTGATTCAAAATGAATTTGAGAAAAAAATAAATTTTTAAAAATGAAATCAGACGGGTAATATAATATATGTTATGAAAAAAATAAGTTCCACAATACTATAATCGATGATCATTTTAATAAATTATACACACATAATAATAAATTAATTTTTTTTTACATTCATATTTCATAGAGTCATAAGAAGTTAAAAAATACTGCAATTATTAAAAGGGGATTTACAAAAATAGTTAATTTCATGCTTGTCTAATTTTGATAACTATTACAAAAATGATCAAATTTGGTACCAAATTGTCCATTATACCCACAATGAAAAGTGAAGCATTTTTTTCAATTTGTCACGAATTTCGAGAAGAACAAATAGCTTACATGAATGCTAGCTAATAACTAATGGATTCGTTTACTTTTATTACCTATTAGATATTGACCAATAATTTTGGGGAAAATGAAGAAGATGAAGTAGAAAAGTCATCAACAATAAAAAAATAATCATATGCTTCCAATTTATAAGAAAATCCTATAATTTCATTTCAAAAAATTTAATCTTATCCAAATGTGTAGTTGATTAGGCTTTCAACAATTCTTGGTAGAAGGTAATTTTTTTTTTTTTTTTGGGAAATCTTGTTTTTTGTTGATAAGTTGTGTTTAATAGTTGTTATTTTTGACATTTAATGACGTTCTCGACATTTTTAAAGCTGTTATCGATATTTATATTATTGGCCCGTTCGGGAGGAATTAAAATCCAATTAAAATTGAAAATATGGCCGTTATTGGGTCCCACTCATCTAATAAAAGTCAACAATAACGGCTATATTTTCAATTTTAATCCCTCCCATACAAGGCCTATGTTTATCTTGACACTTAACACTTCATTTGTTAGAACGAGAATTCGTTTTGAACATGAGACCTCTCTACATTTCGTAATATTCTTGACATTTAAGTGTAGTTCTTGACATTTCATAAATGTTTTATTTACTCACTTATATGGAAAAGTGATCATTTAATGCATGATTGACATGATACTTTTTAAAATGAGTAGTATAGGTTATGTGTCAAGTTATTATTGGTCAGTACAATTTTTAATTATATAAATAATTTTGTCTTCATTGGGGAATTTAAAATTGTTAATGAGGGCATTTTGGTCTATATTATAGTAAAATGGATATTGAAGAAATTTTGGACATTTTCATAAAGGACTATGTAAAAGTGGACATTTTTTGCAATTTCCTCATTATTAAATTAGAAGTAGAGCCTCGTCTCAATTAGTCCATATTTGCTGGGATTAAAATCAGATATTTTTTTAATAAATTTTGATAAAAATTAAAAATGGGTCAAGGAGAGTGTGTACATGTCCATGTGGCCGTGTACAACTATTATATTCCTGTCGACATGGCTCTGTACAACTGTTATATTCCTGTTGAAAGATACTCGTCATATGATTCTAGGTTTCTAGATATTGAAGAAATTTTGGACATTTTCGTAAATGACCGTAAAAGTGGACATTTTTCGCAATTTTCTCATTATTAAATTAGAAGTACAATCTCGTCTCAATTAGTTCATATTTGCTGGGATTAAAATCAGATACTTTTTTAATAAATTTTGATAAAAATTAATAAAATGTATAATTAAAAATAGGTCAAGGAAAGTGTGTACATGTCCATGTGGCTCTGTACAACTATTATATTCCTGTTGAAAGATAGTCGTCATATGATTCTAGGTTTCTAGCTAGCAGCTACTATGAACTTGTCACACTCTGTCTTTGCCGACTAATTTATTTATTTATTTTTCTCTCTTCTCCTGATTGGCTTTTCCGAGAAATAATTGAAAAGGCTATGGTGAACCCATTCCCTTTAGTTTCAACTGATTAAGGGCCTTTCTGAAAATTGTGTTTTAAGAGTGGGATGGGTGGTTGTGGTTTTGTCTTGATGCTTCTTTGGATTTTTATGTTCAAGTATTGACCAAATAGCGTTCGACATAATTTACGTTCGTGGTCCCAAAATTTGATGTTTTTCAAAAGGGCGTAGGACGACTAGGGGCATATTTTAATTTGCCGGCCATATTTTTTTTAAACGCTAAATACCAATATTTGAACTTCAATCAGTATCGTGTTAATAATATATTTCTTGCCCCCCAGGGCACATCTCCAAGTGGTAAAAGGGGAAGGTGAAAAAACTTCAACTTTGCTTGAGGCTGCTGCTTCAAGGATTCGAATCCTGAAATACGGATTTGGCCATTGGGTAAGTGCAAGTGTACAAACAGCCTTCCACCCTATACCCTTGGAGGCATAACTTGCGATTTACCTCCTTCATCAAGGCCCAGGATAGAACAAGTGGGGGCCGCTAAGGATGCAGTTCATCCTTTTTAATAATATATTTCTTTCGTATTTTGAGATTTTTTTACAAATACCATTTTATTATTTGTTGGCGGGTAGCGGCTGCGGGTTCTTATGTCAACAAAAAAAGAAAAAAAATAATTAAATTAATTAATCACACTCTTGGAACATTGTCTCATTAAATTATTTAAGAGTACGTAATTATGGTAAATAAAACTTCAAGAAAGTTTCTTGAGACAGAAAATGAAAATAATATTATTACATCGATGTCTTAAAGTTAGGGTTTCATCAATGAAAATCTAACTCTAAAAAAACAAAATGCATACGTCAGAACACACGAATTCATGGCAGTAGCAAAGTTTCCCATGAAAATCTATTACCGTTAGAATTAACACGTGTCAGGCACGTGTTTTGATCTATCTCTCTTTGGTTTCTCATCTCCAGTATTTTTGTGAAATCATGTACGTATACAATTTTTTTTACATCGATTTTGATATTGCATCAAGTATCGGCGTATGATTGAACAGTTTAAAAAAACACACTTTTCCGTTCAAGACAATCTCCACACACGACGTAAGACAAGACGTCAGAAAATTACACTTGGCATAATTCATTTTCGTATGTTTCTTTATATTGCTTCTTAATTCCTTGGATTTCTTCTCTTAACACTATCTCTCTCCCCTCTCTCTCCCATTTCTTCTCTTTCTCTGTATTTATTTTGCAGATCTTTTGGTTAGTTATGCATTAGATACAAAAAGAGTTCATTTTTGTCTGATGGTTTGTTCTGTATGTTAAGCAATGACGTCATTTTCCGGCAGGTTTTTCTCAAGAATTTTGGTGAATGCTTTTCTGTTTGTGATTTTCACTGGTTGCGTTTTCTCTGCGACTGAATTTGATTTTGGAACACTAACACTGACGAGCTTGAAGATACTCGGAGACGCCCACTGGAACAATGGGAGTGTGCGGCTTACGCGTGATCTGGCCGTTCCGAATTCCGGTGCTGGAATGATTCTTTACTCCAAACCCATCGGGTTCCGGCAGCCAGGGACAGAGAATCTGGCGAGCTTCTCTACATTCTTCTCATTCTCAGTGATGAATTTGAATCCGTCCTCCATTGGCGGCGGTTTGGCTTTTGTGATTTCGCCGGACGACCAGACAGTGGGCGACGCCGGTGGGTTTTTGGGTGTCATGGACTCGAAGGGGGTCCGAAACGGCGTCGTGGCGGTGGAGTTTGATACCTCAATGGACGTTGAATTCAAGGATATTAACGGGAATCACGTGGGGTTGGATCTGAACTCAATGGTTTCAAACCCGGTGGCTGATTTAGAGACCATCGGCGTCGATCTCAAGAGCGGTGTCCTGGTCAACTCGTGGGTCGACTACTCCGGGTCTACTCAGGTAATAAAAGTCTATGTATCGTACTCTAATCTGAAGCCCAAAGAGCCCATTATCTCGGCCCCTCTTGATCTCAACGAGTACGTAGGTAATGATTTCATGTTTGTTGGGTTCTCCGGATCTACTCAGGGTAGCACAGAGATTCACAGCATTGATTGGTGGAGTTTCAGTTCGTCCTTCGAAGAAAATCCCAATTCCAATTCGGTGGTGGCTCCGGAGACACCACCTCCGCCGCCATCCACTACTCTAATAAACCCGTCGGCGAACACAGCGAACCCGCCGCCACCTGCTTTAGCACCTGCTGCTAATAGTACGACGTCGTATGAGAGCAAAACTAGCGGGAAGTGTCACTCGCAGTTGTGCAAAGGTCCCGGGGCTGTTGTTGGGGTGGTAACCGCCGGCGCATTTTTTCTGGCATTTTGCACTTTGATAGTAATGTGGGCATACAACAAAAAATTCAAGCGGGTGAAAAAATCTGATACTTTGGCTTCCGATGTGATCAAAATGCCCAAAGAATTTAGCTACAGGGAGCTAAAATTTGCCACTAGAGGGTTCGATTCAATCCAAATTATTGGTTATGGTGCATTTGGTACAGTTTATAAGGGGATATTGCCGGCCACCGGTGATATAGTGGCGGTGAAGAGGTGTAGTCATAACGGACAGGGGAAGACGGAGTTTTTATCCGAATTGTCCATAATTGGATCTCTTAGGCATAGAAATCTTGTTAGGCTACAAGGTTGGTGCCATGAGAAAGGTGAAATTTTGTTAGTTTATGATTTGATGCCTAATGGAAGTCTTGATAAGGCATTATTCGAGTCGAGGATGATCTTGTCGTGGCCTCATCGGAGGAAAATTTTGCTCGGGGTGGCATCTGCCTTGGCTTATTTGCATCAAGAATGTGAAAATCAAGTGATTCATAGAGATATTAAGACTAGTAACATTATGTTGGATGAAGGGTTCAATGCAAGATTAGGTGATTTCGGATTGGCCAGGCAAACTGAGCATGACAAATCCCCTGATGCAACGGTGGCTGCTGGAACAATGGGCTACTTGGCGCCCGAGTATTTGTTAACCGGAAGGGCGACTGAGAAAACCGACATTTTCAGCTATGGCTCGGTGGTGCTAGAGGTGGCGAGTGGGCGAAGGCCAATTGAAAAAGAGGCTACTGGTGTTGGGAAAGTTGGTGTGAATAGTAATTTGGTGGAATGGGTGTGGAGTTTGCATAGAGAAGGGCGGCTGTTGGTGGCGGCCGATCAACGGCTGGGGAATGCTTTCAACGAGGCTGACATGACACGGGTGTTGTTGGTCGGGTTGGCATGTACCCACCCTGATCCGATGGCTAGGCCTACAATGAGGGGGGTGGTCCAAATGCTAGTAGGAGAGTGTGAAGTTCCAATTGTCCCAAGAACAAAGCCAACTATGGGTTTTAGCACATCACAACTTCTAATGACATTGCAGGACAGTGTTTCTGATTTGAATGCCATGATCACGCTCTCCACATCCTCGTCAGAAAACAGTTTTGGCGGCAATGGTGGTTTGGACTTGGTTTGATCAATGAAAATCTAGCCGGGGGTGTCGTTTGAGATTATTCCGGCCATCTTTTTGTTAGTTAATTAACTTTTTTTATATAATTCGTTGATTTATTAAATTATGTATTTAGAATCAATAACGTTTGTGTATGCCCAAAGATGGAGTGCAATAATAGCTTTTTGTCCATATTCATATTGTCCTGTAATGATGGTTCCAGCTTACTAATTCGGGAGTTGGCTAGTGAGAATAATATAGCTATTGGTTTCCATCTGAAAATTCACGTCGAATCACTTGGAAATTCACCTAAATTGGTAAAAAGCATTTTTTTTCTATAAAAGCCAAACAAGGCACCAAGGAAGGTCGGCCCAAAGGTTATCCCATCCATACAAGTAGGCTGATGGGCAACGTCATTTGAATAAATAATCATAATATGACTAAAAATGTATTCCTCCTGTGTGGCAATGCCACCCAGAGTTACCAATCAAAGAAAAGTCGGGATGATCTAAGATAGTTGCAACCTAAGTATCATGATGACTCCCTCACAATCAAATTCTTCAACCAACCAAATATCTCCAAAACGGATCTAAGATAGTTGCAGCCTAAGTATCATGATGACTCCCTCACAATCAAATTCTTCAGCCAATCAAATATCTCCAAAACGGACGATGATACAAGGATCTAGGCCGGACATTGTACCTTAACATGACTAGGGCGGCATACTCCAATTTAGTGATCTATAAAGGGGTGAATATTCAGTAAGAAGGGCCATATTGAAAAATTTCTTTGTAATAATATACAAATTCTAGCAAATACTGATCTAGATTTTTAGTAATTTTTCAGTAATTTAACATAGTTATTCTATTCGATTCTTTCAAGTTAAATCAAAAAGTGTTACGTCATTTTTTATCATCAACGCTGGCCATTTCGTTTTCAATAGGTTGTTATGGAAGAAACAATGAAGTTATGAACGTAATTATGTTTCTTATCGTTAAATTGAACCTTAACTTACACACCTTTTTCTTATAGGTCGATCTCTAGTGAATTTCTAATCAAAGTACATAGTAACGCTCATATTCCTTGCCAACAATTAGTTAGAAGTGGAGACGGATGAAAATGGTGGGTGTCATTTTCTTGACTTGTGTTGATAAGGATTTTCTTCGTGGGGGTGGGGGTGGTGGGTGGTTGCTTTCTTAGAAAGAATTGCAAGTCAAAAACAGAAATTAGAGTTTGAGTAGAGGTTTGGCAAAGTGTAACGATAATTGACACTAGAAGAAACGCATACTTCAGTTGACGTTTTAGTTTTTGAATTGACGCTTCTTTGGATAATGGATATAAAGGGACTTTATTTTTTTATTTTTTCGTGCATCCCTAAGTGTCAATTTGCCGTAACTTTAGAGAAGTCAATACGACATTTTGAATTCGTTTGATTAATGTATAATATATTAAATATCACATCAAGTGAGAATAATTCTTTGAACAATCATGACTCTACTATAATTTAATTATTTAAGTAAAACTTTATTTTCTGTTTTTCAATTAACCATTTAGTAATTATCAATGTACATGTACATTTGACAGACTTATTCACCCATGTGCTTTCATTAATGTATGAATTCTCTATTATTAATTCTCAATTAATTAATACTCACATTCATATATTTAACAATTTAGTTACCATCAATATACATACATTATGTTTCACAGATTCATTTTACATGTGTGCTTTCATTAATGTATGAATTTTCTATTATTAATTCTCAATTAATTAATATCCACATTCATTTAATTAATATCAATCTTTATTTTATGCATTTCACTGTTATTAATTCTAATTATAAATTAATTAGAATTTCACATTCAAGAGTATATTTCATTTTTCACGTGCTAATTAACATCCAATTTTACTGAATTGAAAATTAAATAAATGATTTAATATTCCTTGTCACGTATAAATTCCACAATATTAATTCTAAATTAAATAAGATTCATGCATATTTAAATACTATTTTTACACCACTTATAAAATATTTCATAATATTGAACAACGGAAGTTCAACGTTGACTATTTTTATAAAAATGTTTTTTCAAGTCAGAAGAGCTCGTAAAGAAAGTCCAATATGATTCCTCTAAGGGCTTGCTNATTGGAAAAAATTCTAGGCACAATGGTCAAAAAAATTATCACTTTTATTGACAATTTCCATATAAAACAAAGTTAAAAGAATGATATTCGGTATGGTAATTTTTTAAAAAATTTTTTGGTAATTGGAACAAGTGCTAGACCCAATGGTAAAAAAATTATCACTTTAATGGACAATTTTCATGAAAAATAAAGTTAAACGGATACCAAACTTTCAACATTTTTCAAATGAAAAATTATATCAATCAAACACAATTAATTACAATTCCCAGTAAAACAAATTTTAGACAATTCAATTCTCAGGAAAACATTTTCTTTCCACCCAAATTCCACATTTGCAATCAAACGGACCCTAAGATTTTGCATTTTGTAAAAATATAGGATTGGTCATTGTTATCAAATCAACCACTGGATTGAGATGTTGAAATTATATGGCACAATAATGAANGAAATAAAAGTCCCGGTGACATGGACCCTAAAAAAATAAAATGTCTTTTCTTAATTTCCTTTTTCTTTGCAAAGTTGCTAGTGATAATATAAATATAAGAATTCTTTTTCCACATCGTGCTCGATTATTATTACATTTGCTTGTAAATGTTCAATAATATTGCGTTACTGATCAAGTCGATATATTTACTAAATGCCAATAGTTTAGCTTTGGGGATAAAAAAGATAGCTTCAATTTTATACCATTGTAAAAAAAGATTCGACCTATTCATCTTATTATGGTTCTACATCACGTTCTATATTCGAAAATAGGGTGTGGTAAAGGAGAAAAGTGGATAGAAAGAAAATGTTCCATTTTCCAAATTAAAGTGTGGTAAAAGAAAAGGCGAGTAAAAGAAAATGGGAGGAAAAGGATTTACTTTAGCTATGTCAATTCTTCAAAAGAGAGGAATACAAAGTGAGGTGAAAAGTAAATCTATACGTTCAATGATATCTGAAAATTTTAATTTTTCTTTTGTATAAAAGAAAGAGAAAATTATGTTGTGTATGGTTTCTAAAAAAATCTTGAATTTTCACGTTTTCTTATATTTTCAACATTATTAGAAGTAGAATATAAATTTTTCTCCGTCATCTATTCCCAATATCGTAATTAAGCTCCTGTTTGGTAGGATTAAAATCTAAATTTTAATTTAGATCAAAATCAACAATTAATTTTAATCAAATATTTTATGGGATTCATAACTTTTCAACCACACCTCTTATCAACTTTTATCAAAATCTAATAAAAAATTAATTTTAAACCTCAACCGAAAAGAGACTAAATCTTAAATTTATCATAGCCTCACACATTGATACCTCCTAAATTAATGTCTTTCATCTTTATCAACATTAAATCCTAATGAAAAAATCCCATCAATTCATCACCCTTGTTTGGTGGATATTAAAATCAGATTTTTAATAGATTTTGATAAAAGTTAATGAAATGAGTGGTTGAAAGTTGTGGGTCCCATAAAATGTGTGATAAAAATTAGTTGTTGACTTTGACTTAAATTAAAATATGAATTTTAATTGTACCAAACAAGAGCCCAATTTCCTATACACCTGGTTCCTAGCCTAAACTCAAAGGAGATTCGACTCAGCTCCTACAGATAAATTCGATAGCAAATTGCGACATCCTGATGATGTTCTTTATTTAATAATTGGAAAATCTACTATGAAATCATCAACCTATACCTACCTTCAAACTCAACAACAATTACACGATGACAAATTAGAAAACTTCCAATGTTAATGCTAGTTCGTAGGTCCAACTCATAGCTATACCATGTTGGATTTCATCGATGTGGAATGTGGTCCAATCACAATGGATTAATCTATTTGTACAATATTGGTTGACAATGTTGTAGGTGGCAAAAAACTATTAATTGAAAAAATAAGTTATTTTTAAACTACCGTGGCATGTTGTTAACAATGTTGTCAACCAACATTGTACACCAATCATGATTCAACCACAATTTGCTTCAATTAAATGCTCAAAAAAGATTTGACATATTTATCTTTTTATTGTTCTCACTTTCTATATTCGAAAATAGGGTGTGGCAAAGAGGAAAAGTGGGTAAAAAGAAAATGCACTATTTTCCAAATAAAAGTTCGGTTAAAAAAAAAAAACACGAGTAAAAGAAAATGAGTAGGAAAGGGATTTACTTTAGCTATGTCAATTCATCAAAAGAGAGGAATCGAAAGTGAGGTGAAAAGTAAATCTATCCGTTCAATGATATCTGAAGAATCTTAATGTATAAAAGAAAGAGAAAACTAGGTTGTGTATGGTTTTTATCTGAAGAATCTTATTTTTCCTATAAAGGAAAGAGAAAATTAGGTTGTGTATGGTTTTTAAATTATGTTACTAATAATCAGGCCAATCTAAAAAAAAATCTTTATTTTTCATGTTTTCGTATAATTTTAATATTATTGGAAGTAGAATCTAAATTTTTCTCTTGTCATCTATTTCCAATATCATTAAGCTCTTGTATGACATGAGTTAAAATTTTAATTTTAATATAAATCAAAATTAATAATTAATTTTAATTACATATTTCATGGGATCCATAACTTTTCAATTACATATTTCTTCAATTTTCATCAAAATTTACTAAAAATCTTATTCATATCCTAATTTTAATTACTACCAAACAAGAGTCTAATTTTAATCTCCACCAAATAGAGACTAAATCTTAAATTTATCATAACCTCACTTATTAATCCCTCCCCAAATTATTATCTTTCATCTCTATCAACCTTGAATCCTAATGAAAAGTTTCCATTAGTTCATCATACCAAATTTCTTGTACACCTGGTTCCTAGCCTAAACTCGAAGTAAGATTCAACTTAGCTCCTTCAGATAAATGTGTTACGCCTCTTCCAATGAAACTCTAAGCAA